ATGCAAAAAGACTCCGTTACAGATGGACACAAGTCAAAGTGAGGCTCTCCTAGGCCCCTTCAAAATTTCCCAACTATTTTTCCCAGCTTCGCGTTAGGGTAGAATAGTTGCGTTTTGGTCTAAAATGAAAGAATATCACACAAAAAAAATTTTTCGAGGGTACTTTTGGGTCGCCCACAGGCACATGTTGCCAAATGGCTCAAATAATGGCCAAAAATCGTGTTTTTTCGCGGTTTTCGCCCATGAAGTAGCCCCGAAGTTAATTTTAGACTTTGTTATTAATTATTCCTAGTGCTTGGGTATATACTTCGACGACGTAAATCGTTTACAGACGGCTAGGAAGCTTTTTTCATCGAATTTCCTTGAAAAAACGTGAAATTTTTGACCGTTTTCACCACTTATTAGGATTTTCAATAACATTTCAATCTTAAATTGACTAACAATATACTTTATAGTGATACTAGTATTGTAACGAACTGTATTTCATTACCTTTTTGTGATGTACCGAGGCAGTGATGATTTCAGGACCTTGACGATGTGCCTGCTTCACATGTGTCAGTTGGTTCAATTGCTGGTTGGTCCAGTTTTCGAGCGAAGATCCGTGCTCTGATGAACCCATCACGACTTTCGGCATCACATACGGCCGCGGAAGCTTCCGTAACTAACTTGACTCCACGCTCAACTGCTTGAGTATGACATGGAAAAAGCGTCATTTTCTGGACAGGATGAAGTATGAGAGCTTTTAGGTCTTCCTCCGTTAAGTGTGATAAAATCGGGGGTGGAGTGATCGTCACCTTGTTCCAATCAATGAGTTCTTGATAATCGGCTGCTTGGAAATTTAACGGAGGGACGGTAAACTTTCGAATGCTTCCAGGACGATGCTCCTCCCGGGCCGCCAAAATTCGGTTCACCGCCGTTTCTCTGACATTTGAATCATTGTCCACCAGCATGGTCCACAAAATGTTTTCCGGATGAGCAAAGTATGATCCTCTTTGGATGACGGGGTCAACGATATCTTTTAGGCTTTTTTCCAAGTACCGAGAATACGTGATTGTTCGCCAAATATGTAATGCCCCATTTTGGCATAAATATTCGAATTTTATGTGGAACCACATCGGTGAATATACTTTCATTATGAAAGTCACTAAAATTAGTAGTTCTGCTGATGGATTCTCGGTACCGATGTAAAGTCTGAGGACTCGGGATGCTGTGGTCATCCATCGTACTTTCGCGAGCTTTCCTGGTTGTCGGTTTTCAAATCCAGGAGGAACAACCCCAGTTGACACTGCTAGGGTGATTTCGTACAGATATTTTTGATCGGAACGTAAAGGCACTTTTTTAAAATCAATGTCTGGAAGAAATGTAACTGGCACTATTTCGAATTCAACAATAGGTAAAGTTTCACAGGTCAAAAGTTGTTGACCAATCGGTCCAGAATAAGTAATAGGGTTTTTTTGTACACCATCTACATGCTCAAACAGGTGTTGAAGGGGTAGCTCATTAGTATGCAGCTGACAAACACACCACTGCAAAGCTTTTCTCAATTGCTCCTCCAATTTTCGGTTCACGCCATTATGTTTACCGGTGTTGGTGTTCGTTGAATCACATCCTAAGACTTGGAGTTCTTCAAAACTTACTCCGTTTTTGGTCAAAAAATCAATGATGGAAAACGCAATATCTTGAGCTTTTCCTGATTGGGGAGAGACGTGACCGAGGTACTCACTGCCAGGTTCTTCTAGCAAAACGTAATGATCTTCTTTTTTTCGAAGTTGATGAAATGCGTCACCTTTTTTCTCGTTGAACAAAGTTGTGTCTTTTCTTCCATCGTAGTATAATCCCCTTATTTTCCGACCATCTTTCAACTCTTCTGTTCGAAGTCTATTTCTTTCCGCAATTCGGGTTCGTCTAAGTGTGGATGGAAATACTTTTTGTTTCCCTGTTAATAATCCAGCACCTTTAAGACTCGCAGTTCCTAATAATGCACCCTTGTCATCACTCACACCGGTTCTATCACAAGTAAGGGCTAGAAGTTTCAAATCGAGCTTTGGTTTCTTTTGATATCTGGATTTAACTTCAAAATCTGATTCCGGATCGGTACCGCGTTGAGAACTCGCACTTTCAAACGACAAGTCCAAATTAGCCTCATATTCTCTCGTGTCCTTTTGTCTCCGACTTTTTTCTCTCTCTAATTTTCTCTTTTCTTTTTTCTGTAGTTTTTTAGAAACGATAGCGTCCTTTCCACTTATAACCATTTTTCTACAAGTTCGTTGGTCGGTGAGGAAGTCTTGCTCTCTAACGTTCACTTTTTTCGACGAAGGACACTTACAGTTTTTGAAAGACGGACACTTGCATGTACAAATATCAAACAACTTTTTCGCACTTTGGGCTTTCAACTCTTCAACTTTAGCCGATTTTCGATCGACATGCTTAAGCAGAGATTTCCGCTCTTCAACACACTTTTTCAGCATTACACAAATACGATCGTCACCAATGATTGGGAGTGATGCTTTAACCCACACTTTTTTCAATTTTTTCACAACTTTATTTGCCACTTTACGAAATGCCGGATCCATCGGGTTGTTTTCATTTACTTTGATACTGTCCCGAACTTTTAAATAACACCGCATCACCTCTGCGTATGTCGGTAACATATTCTTACTGAACTTGGCTGGAAAGCCATATATACGACACTTATCTGAGCTGCGCGACATATTCGAGCTTTTAATACGCAAAGAACACAAATTCAAAAATATTTAATACTGAAAAAACACAAATTCATAAATGAAGGCAAGAGTGTGTAAGCCCCGGGGAAAACAGTGGGTACCGAGGGGAGGAATCCGTTTTTCGTCCGAACTACGGAGTTCCGAATTGCTACTGAGGCATCGAATGGATCTGTTATCAACAGTTTGAAATTTTTGGTCAGTTGCAATATCTGAAAAAAATGGTTGATGTTTTACATTGATAATAATTGATACTCAAATGTAAGGGTTTCAAATGCATTTGGCAGCAATGCTGGACCGCGGAGTCGAAGAATCAGATGTGCGAACGTCAGCTATAACACCCCGCTTTTCGGGATTTCGGGAGACGGCGCGCGGCGCTCGCACGACCGCGCGCACGGCCGCGCGACACCATCCAGGACTTATCAGCAGGCACGTGTACATTATAATAAATGGATCTTCATATTTTATCTGTCTGTATCGAAATTAAATTTAAAATTGAATGTTCTCCTAAACATTATGATCAGCAGTATTTTAAGTGGTCAAAACGGTAAAAAATTTCACGTTTTTTCAAGGAAATTCGATGTAAAAAGCTTCCTAGCCGTCTGTAAACGATTTACGTCGTCGAAGTATATACTCAAGCACAAGGAATAATCAATAACAAAGTCTAAAATTAACTTCGGGGCAAATACATGGGCGAAAACCGCGAAAAAACACGATTTTTGGCCATTATTTGAGCCATTTGGCAACATGTGCCTGTGGGCGACCCAAAAGTACCCTCGAAAATTTTTTTTTGTGTGATATTCTTTCATTTTAGACCAAAACGCAACTATTCTACCCTAACGCTAAGCTGGGAAAAATAGTTGGGAAATTTTGAAGGGACCTAGGCTCTCCCTTAGTAGAGTCTGGGGAAAAAAGCTTCGAAAATGGTATTTCGTGTACTAGTCTGTGAAATAAGTGCGAACAAATACTTTATCTTTTATTTTTTTTTTTTTAGTCTGTTGGAAAAGAATTTGAATTTACAAGCTTAGATTTGCATCAAGCCTCCCAAAGTTAGGCAAAAGGCCACTAGACAAGGTTCAAGTCAAAGCATTACGCAACACTTTCCGTTTCCCTGGTAAAAAAGACGACTACGCTGCGACTATGCTGCGAATACATAGCATAGCCGTGTGCATATGTAAGAAGTCGCAGTGTAGTCACATGGTTGTCAAGGGTAGTCATCAGTAGGCGCAGTGTATTCGCAAGGTAGTTGCAAGGTGGTCACCGGTTAGTAGTCGCCATGAATGTGTAGTTGCAGAGCAATAGTGGGTATCCGCAAGCATAGGTGCATATGTTTATGTACCTACATTTACCCGCTAGACATGTGACTACACAACTCTGGGACACTTTGTTGTG